TGTTTGCAGATGTTTATGGAACAACTTCCTGTCTGTCTGCAGATGTTTATGGAACAACTTCCTGTCTGTCTGCAGATGTTTATGGAACAACTTCCTGTCTGTCTGCAGATGTTTATGGAACAACTTCCTGTCTGTCTGCAGATGTTTACGGAACAACTTCCTGTCTACTGCTCTAACTTTAAGTTACTGTATGAGCTGTTGTTTGATGGTTTGTCCCTTAGCTACTTTTTAGCTAGTTTAGCTTTTAGCCTTGTTATGCTGGTTTCAACTTTCAGCTAGCTTTCTGATCGTTTTAGCTTTTAAACTACAGTGTTGCTAATAGCTTTTAACAGTAGCTGCACTGGTTTTTATCTTTTAGCTACTGCTTTGATGTTTTTAACYAATTATTTTAAGTTTCATTTTCAGGTCAGCTAATTTTGGTTTTGATCAACTGTTTAGCCAAGTTTAGCTTTTAACTCTGGTTGTACTGGTTGTACTGGTTTTTAGCTTTTTAGCTACGGTTTTCTGTATTGCCAATGTGAGGTTTTACCCTTTGCTAATTTTAGCTCCTGTTCTGATTGTTTTAAGAACTAAAACTTCAGCTGTCTTTCGGCTTGTTCTCTGTATTTGTAAMAGAACTTCTTCAGAAAGGTGGAATTATAAAAAGTGTTGTTGTTTCTTTAGCTGCTGTTAGAAGATGAAAACCTCGTTAAGAACCAGCAGATAATTGATCTTCAGCTTCAGACAGATTGGACTTATTGTCTTTCAGACAGACTAATGAAGTCCTGGTTCAGCAGGGAACTGGATCAGACCCCCAACACGGGGGATGTGGGCGGGGTTTGGACCAGCTCTGGTTCTGGGACTCGCAGAGAAGCGGACTCTTTGAAGCTCGACAGAAGACGGGAAAGAATCAATTTAGTTCYGTTTGCTTTGAAGAGAAAATAGCTGCTGGAGTCTTCGACGCCACGGGACACAAAGACYCGTCCCTCTTTAGTCTTTGTTGTGGAACCACAGCCGAAGATCTGCATCTTTTTACCCACGACGAGGTTCGGCAGAAAAACATGATTCCTTTCATGTGGAGGCAGAAATCCCAGCATGCACTGGGGCGTTCTCTACCTGACTGTCCCCTTCGTCTCACAGCCTTTATGACCTTTTCCCCGCTCGTCGTGATGAGGCGGGGTCTCGCAGAGACACTTATCGGCTCCCTGATTTCACGGGTCGTTGTTTTTAGGGGTTTGCTCACCTCACAGCCGAAATGAGATTTTAAAGAACGCTCAGCTGCAGCTGAAGGTTTCGGCTGGAAGAGAATTTACCTTCAGCAGGAAGAGAGTTCGGCTTCTATTTGTTTGTTCTGGAGAAGAAAAATAAGAAGGAAAACAAAACCACATGCTAAATAAATGCTACTGTGCTTCGGCTGCTTTCCGTCACTGCACTAATGAGCCAACGACACGTTTAATCGCCTGATATGAAAAAAAAAACAGCTAAAACTAGAGAAATTGTGTTTTCCGAGAACATGCTGAAAGACTGCTCAAGTTTGACGAAGAAGCAGAGACTTAGCTAGAAGCTAAATGATGCAAACACTATACAAGCTGGAAGTTACAAAATGCTAGTTTTAAGCTAAATGTAGCTAAATACCATTGAACAGTTGCAACRTATTAGTTGAAGGACAAAAAGTAGCAAATCCCACTAAATCCATGGTGTGTGAACAGACCTGGAACCAGCAGCTGCATCTCCTGTAGGCTTCATGAGAAGATARATAAAAACATATAATGAGAGTAATAACTCACTGGGTTTATAAATGAAAGCTGAAATGTTTGAGAGAAAACAGAAATAATTACTGAGGGAGGCAGGACGACCATAAACACACTGAAGAACCATCAGATGATTAATAACAAAAGCAGATTTGAAACAGTTCAGTTATTTCTTCTGCTTCTCCATCAGTTTTTTCTGTTGGGGTCAAAGGTCGCGAGGTTCTTCCCGTTTCCTGTTTGAGTTTTCTCTAAGGTCATTTAGATGATATCCAGCTCTGCAGACTGTGAACTATTTTAGCTGTTAATAAATCAAAATTAAAATGTTTTTTTTATTCACAAACATTTATCCATAAAATGTATTCAGATTTCTTCCTTTTTTTAAATCTTCTCCAGTAAATTATCGATTATTGTTTTGGCTAATTTTACCTATTAGCTAAAATTTACTGCTTTTGGCTAGCTTTTCTGTATTTTTAGCTTCTAGTTAGCCTTTTTTATTTTCTAACTACCCTACCGATACTTTAACGTTTAGCTATGATTTATGCTACTGTAGCTTCTAGCTAATGCTACTTTAACATCTAGCTATTATTATTTCCATTTTTTTAGCCCCTAGCTACCATTTTTTTCTACTTTTGTCTAGCTGTTTTTAGGTATTTCAGCATCTTTTATTTGGCTACTTACAGCGGGTAAAATAAGTATTGAACACGTCACCATTTTTCTCAGTAAATATATTACTAGAGGTGCTAATGACATGAAATTTTCACCAGATGTTGGTAACAACCCAAGTGATCCATACATACAAAGAAATCAAACCATAAATGTCCAGAAATGAAGTTATTTGTAATAATGTGGAATGGCACAGGGAAAAAGTATTGAACACACACTGAAATTTATCTAATACTTTGTACAAAAGTATTGGGTTGTTACCGACATCTGGTGAAAATTTCATGTCATTAGCACCTCTACTAATATATTTACTGAGAAAAATGTTGACGTGTTCAATACTTATTTTACCAGCTGTATCATCAATCCAATATTTAGTTACTTTAATTTCAAAGTATTAATTTTGCTACTTTAGCTTCCATCTATCATTTAACATAAAGCTATTATTTTTTCTGTTTTTAGCCAACATTTGGCGATCAGAGCTAAAATTTCCTTAATTTTAGCTCTTAGCCATCATTTTACTATATTTCACTACAAGCTTTTGATTTGCTAATTTTAGCTAGCCTTTGCTGCCTTTAGCTGAAAGCTAGCCTTTTAAGCGTTTTGCTACATTTAGTTTTAGTTCAAGTTTTGTTACTTTCATCTTTAGTTCAGGTTTAGCTCGTTCAGAATATTCTAGCAGTTAGCTCTCAGCGTTCATGCTGTTTTCTCTCCATAAAATACGTCTGTAGTTTTGGTATCCCTCTGTCTGCTGCAGGTAAGACACTGACTGCTCACACCTACATAAACAGCCGAAGCTGCTTTAGTTTCTATAGGGATGATCCACGAAGAGAAAAGCACTCATGAAAAACCCATTTTTAGTCTCTGCGGCTCTACGCAGCCGGAGACGGAGCGAGCTGAAAAAGCAATAAAGTTGTTTAATGTGGGACGCCGACTAACAAGATGGAGGACGGAGCGGAGCGGCGCCTCATCTGTCATCCTGAGACAATTAGAAGTTGTTTTGTTTCACTCTGCAGGCAGCTTCCTGCGCGCTGTAACGAACGCCGCAGATGATTCATAAAGGATTCTTGGTCTGCAACATGGTGGACCCAGAACTCACCTGATCCCTTCAGGTCACGCCCCCAGGGTTTAATCCAGCAGTTCATCAGAGTCACACCTGGACAGAGCAGGAATCTTTTATTAGTAGACCAGATAAAAATTCTGGAAATATTTTAAATAAAAAACTTCAGTTTCATTTCATTTATTTGCTGACCCCGGGTTAAAGACCTCAGAGACATGTAGGGACTAACTGTCCAAACATCAGTGGAACCTGCTCAGCGTATTAATAACAATTTAAATATCGTCCATTTATTTTATTTTTTTAACCAAAAACCTCTCCAGGCTAGGAGGATTTGTGAAGATTACTTCTCTTCCTGCATCAGTAGATTCTGAAATCACTGATGATAAAAATCATCATCTTAAATTTGAATGAATCATCAGTCATTTGATCAAAGCAGCTGATTAATTAAAGCTTTTGATGGAGAGATTAGACTGATTAACCTAATCTGTGTGCTTTTAAAGTTTAATTACTGAATGCTCCCCAGGTGTCCTGGTTCATGTCACGCTAACTTTTTATCTTAAAAACACTTTGTTCTGTCAGGAAAATACAACTACTGTACAAACCGTCACGAGAAAGATGATTAAACGATCAACAGGAGGGTTAAATCTCACTCACATGCAGATATTTAAGTATTCAGCACCACAGAGAGTCTAATTTACCGGAGGTGATGCATTATTTATAGATAAGAGCACTGCACCTTCATTACCGTTATTAACGGTAATAAATACTTGTTGTTAGCAGCCCAGGGTGTCCTCCTCCTCCTCCTCCTCCTCCTCCAGATCATAATATTCACTGCAGCGCTGACAGAGACGAACACTTTCAATAAAAGACTGAAGGTGATCGAAGTGATCCGTCTCATCTTGAGATGTAAACATTTGTTTGTTTTTTTTTGTTTGTTTTGTTCTTTTTCTCTTATTTTCTTCAAAATCTTGTTTACAAACTGATGAAGCTTAAAGGTTTCAGTTTTTTTGCTGCTGCAAACCATTTATAAACACAGATGTCAATTTATTGGCTCAAACTCTGTTAGCTATGTGCTAACCACAGGTGTCTTTGTTAGCACAACTCTGTTAGCTATGTGCTAACCACAGGTGTCTTTGTTAGCACAACTCTGTTAGCTATGTGCTAACCACAGGTGTCTTTGTTAGCACAAAATCTGTTAGCTATGTGCTAACCACAGGTGTCTTTGTTAGCACAACT